TGTATACATACATACATATATTGCGATATTGAAAGTGTTTGTAATGAGAAAGTTCACGGTACAGAAAAGGGTAATTGTGGTGTTTTATCTAATACTATTTTCAGACAGGCAGTTAATCGAGCAATTATCCAAGCTTTCTCAATTAATGCACTAATTAAGATCGATTTGCCATACAAAATTTCAATTATTAATTGCTCGATTGGTAATTAATTGAATGTTTAATCTAGTAAAAACTCCAATGCAACTCTGTTAGGTAAGTTCGTTTTCTTAGTTTTGGTGTGTTCAGTGTTAAATGACAATCAGCTGTTTGACATAATTTTATTATTTTCTTTTTGGAACCAGCAAATATCAAAAACCAAAAAAATTGTATTTCAACTGCAGGATGCAGAACAATCTGAATGGTGAGTAAATAAACACAAATGGTTATGTGTAATGTTTATTAAAAACACATATGTATTTATTTCAGTTCGATTAGCTCCAAAACCAAGAAAGAGGAGACTGGCTTGGGCTGAGGATGGCGAAGTGGCCATTCTTGATTTGTGGGAAGAGCGCGTTGCTGATCTCCGCGGTGCACGGAAGAATGGCCACATCTACGCGGAGATGGCGAACGAGCTGGCAAAGTTGGGCCACAACTACAGCGCCCGGGATGTGCAGGTGAAGTTGGCGAACTTCACGCAACGCTACAGGTACGAAGAAATAAAGGAATAATATTCAAAACCACTAAAAATTTAATTCGTTAATAGAAAAGAGAAATTGGCTATGGGACCTTCTGGTGGATCACCCTCAACGTGGCCTTTATACGCAAGGGTGCACCAGATAATCGGTGGATTTAAGGCCAATATGTTTTGCGAGCTGACGCTTGAAAACATCAGCGGTATGTATGCGTTTTTGGAATGTGCCTTACTAAAAGCCGTAATGTGTTTAGTGGAGATATTTGTTTTGTAGCAGAGTGACGCGTCTGTGTACATGCTAGAACTATCAGCTCGTTTAGTTGCAGGTTTAAGTGCGAAGGTACACTTCGATTTTGCACGAGCACAGACATACGGTGGTGCTTCAAAACAAATGTTCCGCTAAAACTTAAGTAGATACAAATAACTAAACCGTACCCAGGGTTGGCACCTCATGGATCCGCAAATTATTATTTACTACGATCGTAGCAAAGTGCCAACGCTGACCGTACCCTATCTTTTTAACTTCGATACAAGCACATATGAACATATGTATTTATTTAATGCTGATTTTTTTTATTTCATTCTTATTTGTTTTTTTTTCTTTTAAACAGAATCCGATATAGCATCCCAGCCATCACCACTGACCCCAATATTGCCGTCATCACTCAGCCCAACATTTTCCTCACCACTGGCATCACCTCTTCCTGCTGTGCCAACCACACCGCTGCCTACACCGTCACCGCCGCTGTCATCACCTCTCACTCCTCTGCCAACCACACCGCTCCCCACACCGTCACCGCCGCTATCATCGCCGTCGTCACCAATGGCTAGCAGCTCAGCTTCTGCGGTTGAGCCTAAAAGAAGGAAAGTAATCGGCACTTTACAAAAGAAAGTATTAGATAAATTTGATGGGTTGTCAGCGGAGATAAGCCAACATATACAGAGGAGTGAGGAAAATGAAAAAGAGTGGATGAAGATAGAGAAAGACAAAGCTGACACACTGAGGGAGATAGCGAATGATAACAAAGAATTAAAAGTTGGCATTTTATCATTTTTAAATAGAAATTAATAACACTGTACAGCACTCGGCTGGGTATTGGACCAAACCAACTTTTTTAAAGAGATTGAGCCATAGGTAAAAAAAGTTAGTTCTCCGTTTTATTATATATTCCGTTTCATCCGTTTTATTATATATTACAGGTGCTATAACGGGTCAAAGTCAGACGTTCGAAAAATGAAAAACTTAATATTTCAGAGAATTTTGAACCGATTTTAAAAGGATTCACATCGTTGTAAAAGTTATTAAATCCGCTTTCTTTCGATATGCATATTTGTATACTTCGTATATAAAATTTTTAGAAAAAACACATTTAAATGAAAAAATACCTTTTTTTATAAAAAAAAAATATTTTAAACAAAAATATGACTAACCGATTTTTTAAAAATTGGCGTCGTTGTAAAGGTGATTAAATCCCCTTTCTTCTGATATGCATATTTCTAAAAATCGGTTAGTAATTTTTTTGTTCAAAATACTTTTTTATAAAAAAAGTTCTTATTTCCTTTAAATGTGACTTTTCTCAAATTTTTTAGTATAAAGTATACAAATATGCATATCAGAAGAAAGGGGATTTAATCGTCTTTACAACAATATAAATTGTTTGCAATATAAGGAAATTAATTTTTCGAAGACCTGAACTTTGACCCCTTATATAGGTAATATAGGTCTGCACAAAAAAATTGATTTAACATTTAAATAAAAGGAGGACTACGCCTATATTTTTAGGTTTTTAGTTATTTACATACATGCAATAATTTAATATAATTTTTTACCAAAGGTCCTATTTCAAACTTCGAAGGCCCATATCTCGATTTCGGAGGCTAACTTCGAAAAACGGAGAAATCACTTTTTTTTCATATGACTCACAAAAAGTATATACAGTGGACGGTATTTTTATAGATAAATAACAAAAGAAATTTAGCTCGAAAAAAAAAATGTAAATGAATTAAATTAACAAATAAAAATTGTACTCACTAAAATAATTGCATAATCCTTGCCTTATTTCTTCAGCTGAGGGTTGATTGTCTCCAACTATCGTGACATATTCAGGATTTTCGAGATTTCTGTTCACTTCTTGCAATCTCTCCAACCACATGTCATTTATAGTGTCGTTCATTTCATTTAAATAATTGTGCAAGACGCAGCAGGCTCTAATAATGATGGGTGCCTTCCCAATTCGGTTGTCTAAACCTTTTCCAACACGACGGAATCGTCCTTTCAAGTGGCCAAATGCATTCTCAACTACTCTTCTGCACTTTGAAAGCTTATAATTATAGAGTTTTTGTGTTTCAGTTAAGGCCATTGAAAACGCGTATGGCTTCATTAAGGAGGTGGAAAACCGAAACGCAGAATCTCCAATAATGCATATAGGCATTTGTACTCCACCTATTTCTTTCTTACTGACCTTCAGTAATTCGTTCTCCTCCATTACTCGCTTCATTAACGATGCATTATATATCTGCGAGTCATTGCATCGTCCAGGAGCACCAATGTTCACATATAAAAACCGATATCTGAACATATATAGAAATAATTAATACATGCTTTTTAGAAAAAAACAACAGGATGAAAGTTAAATAACCTGTAATCCACTACAGCTAGTAGAACAATGGAATACCATCCTTTATAGTTGTGGTAGTCGGTTGCATCGGCTGGATTCGGCCTAACTTCGATGTGGCACCCATCTGAATATATATGTATGCACGTATATCTTTGTTTTTATATAAATTAGTTGCATTTTTAACTTTCTTACCAATTGCTCCAAGGCATTGGGGAAAGCCGAGACGGTCAAAACCATCAACACAGTCTTTTAAAGTTTGTGGAGTCGGTGGTAATTTCTTTATGTATTGCGCTGACAAAGCTTGCCAGACTTCCTCGCAAAACTCCCACAAGATTGTGCACACGGTCGATATTCCAACACCAAATAGTTCGGAAACCACTCTGTACTCTCCAGACGATCCCAGCGTAAATAGAGCTATCGCAACGCGTTTTTGCAATGGAATCGCGTTGCGCCAGTTTGTGTCGGCTTTGTGCAGGTTTTTGAGGAAGCCACAGAGTGTTTCAAAACTAGTGCGGTTCATGCGGAAGTGCGTCTTAAAGAAATGGTCATCGTTGCAATTGCAATTAACTTCCCAGAAAGAAGACTGCCGATTCTGTAATAGAGGAAGTATCATTTATAAAAGGACAAGAACTGATTACTTATAATCTGATTTACCAATTTCCAGAGGGATCTCTGAGTAGCGTTCCTCTGCAGTAACCCGTAAAGCAATAGCTGCTGTCTTCGCAAATGTTGCAAAATTATGAAGTTTTTTTCTTTTCTTTTTTTATATAAGGCCATTGAACTTGCGTAGCTTGCCAGCACTGACTGCAAAACTTGTATATTTGCAGTATACGCAAGAAAAAGTTCGCTTAAACACTTATTGTTTTCCATTTTACCAATTTATTTTAAATAAACAAAAATTCTTTTAAGACAGCTGACAGCCACTCGTTAATCGAGCAGCTGATTGTGTGTGAAACACAAAAATCTAATACTTAATTAAAAACTTAATTGACTCAATTAATTTTCTGTCTGAAAACAGTATAAGTTGTATACCGGTAGCGCCCAATAAATCTCGATCAATTATTCTTTCGGTAGGAAAAAATTAAAATGTTTC